ATTTCGTCGATGATTTGAGATACTGCAACAACTATGTTTTAGTGTTATAGTCATCCTCTCTTCTTTTTCTGCCATACTTGGGTGGAGGGCGGTGCAACACGAGAGGGCGTAAGTTGTTGCACGATTGGGCTCAGTGGCGGACCCAGGGGCAACCCTGGTCCTTGACTAGAAAACTCTATATGAACTTACTCCATCAGTTAAAAAAATAAAGAAAAAATTGATTTAGTCTCTTATTATATGGTTCTGTCCGGGGCTTAGCAGATTTCTGGGTCCACTCCTGGTTAGGCTCACCGTGGGCGGGCTAGGCAGGACTGCGGAACGTTGCAGGAAAAGTGTGAAATGCATATGGAATATCTGCGTCTATCTATCTATATATTTCTTATAATCTTAAATCTTCTATAATTATATCTCAACATGCAAGACATCCGTATCAACAAATCCAATAGCAAATATAATTATAATACTTATGTATTCATGCAAACAATCCACATTGTCTTAATGATGCATTAAAGCTCACTCGCGATTCATATAACAATTGCGTGGGATATGCTTCTAATTTTCTTTAACCATGAGAGCCAACACATTGTCTAATATTTTAGATCATCTGCTCTAAATTATAAGACGTTTTGACTTTTTTATATACACTATTTTTATTATATATAAACATATAGTAAAAATAGTGTACGTAAAACATTTTATAGTTTGGAATGGAGATAGTATGTAAGAAGAATCCCGACCTTCTACGTGTACCAATTTCGTACAACTACTTTCTTTGTTCTAAATTTTATGTCGTTTTGATTTTTTTATATTTATTTTAGTATGTATCTAGACATACATTGTATTTAGATACTCCCTCTTTACCTTTTTAACTGTCATTTCCATTTCTGGAAAAGTAACTTTGACTAAATATATATAAAATATTATATTTATAGTATATATCATTAGATAGATCGTTGAATCTATTTTTATAACAAATTTATTTAGAGATATAGATGTTATTAATATTTTCTATAAATCTAGTTAAACTTATCAGCACGTAAACCATAGCAATAAATATTTAGAGAAGAAAGAAGTATTATATATTAAAAAGTCAAAGCAACTATAATTTAGAATAGACGAGTATCCTAAAAACTGCAGGGGTAATAATTGGCAAGTACTGTAATAATGATGAACGAGTAGGTGCTCCGCAAAATAAACCCCAAAGTTCCATGTGGCCTCGACTGTACGAGCTCTCCGGATTTCGATTAGAAAAACTCGCTCAGATTCTTGAGACTTTTTCATGTGGCATTATAAAAGATCGCAATCCTCTTGATATCTTTGAAAAAATTCAGCAGTTTTCAGCGTCACTACTCTAATTTTTTCGGGTCCTCCATGCCACTTCCGTCAGTTCGTGATCTAACGCCGTCAAACTACAGGGATGAAAAGACGAAAATACCCTTAAGTTCAAATATGTTATTAATTTTTTTTGAGCATCTTAACGACTTCAAATGAAAAAACTCAAAACTAGAAAGTTGTAGATCTCGTCGAGATCTATAATTTTTATATAAAAATTATTTTTATTTAATTCCAAAAAAAAATATGATTTGATATGATTAATATATCTTAGAAAAATCATCATATTTTTTTGCGGAATTAAATGAAAATAATTTTTATAATAAAATTATAGATCTCGACGAGATCTACAACTTTCTAGATTTGAGTTTTTTCATTTGAAGTCGTTAAGATACTCAAAAAAATTAATAACATATTTGAACTTAAGGGCATTTTTGTCTTTTCACACCTGTAGTTTGACAGCGTTAGAGCTGAACTGACGGAAGTGGCATGGAGGACCCGAGAAAGTTTAAGTAGTGACGCTGAAGACCGCTGAATTTTCCCAAGACACAAAGAGGATTACGATCTTTTATAATGGCACACAGTAAAAGTCTCCAGATTCTTTCCTTTCCTCTGCTTCGGAATAGTTTACTCCGCTTTGCTTTGTGTCACGATTTCTTCTCCGTCCGTCTCCTCCTCAGAGGAAGACGGCCGGCTTCTTTGTATCCAGCGCCTTGTTCGCCCCTCCCACCGACAACCCGGACTGCGCGTCCACGAACACACTCGCCCAACAGACCAACGTGAGCAATCCTCTCCAGCCGATGCTTCCTCCCCATCAATCTTTTCCGGTTCGTTGCATTGCGTCTGGATTGGCCTGCCCCTGCTAGATTCAGGTACCTACTGCAGCTGCGGTTCTTGATGCGTTTACTTCGGTTTTCCCGAGGTCCTTGTCTTATCCTTCTTCTCTCCGCATTTGAGCTCGATTCGATTGATGCTTCCTCGTTTGGTTTCTTGAGTGCAGCGATTCAGGAAAAAGCTCTTCCTTTTCACAGTATACTGGATTGGTTTGTGCTCTGTAGTCTGTACCCTGTCCACTCCCTTCCCCCTTTGTCCTGGTTTTGGGTACGGCATTTTGGTTGTCCTAATTTGCTTGTGCTAATCTAGCGTTCAATCGGCATTCATTGTAATTCCCGTACTGAGTCCTCTTGGGTTGTTGCTTGGCAGTTTTGCTTTGCTAGCACTAACAGTACTGCATCTTTCTTTTTCGTTGTAAATGTGGGTAAAGTTTTTGCTTTTTCTTCACCCCGTGCTCCCTTTTTCTCTCTCCATTGCTTGGTTCTTGATGGCTCAGGCTCTCTTTACGGGGGCTGTTCTTGCAGACCGGCTGCACTGGATTTAATGCAAGACGCTCTCTGTTTTCTTTGCCTCTGTTATTGGGCTGTTGCTTCCCATGTTCTGGATGCTGCATTGGTTAGTCTCAGTCCAGTCCGGTCAAAGTCATCTCTTTTCTCAGATCTCGTGCTGCCCCTAGCATTTTCCCCTAGTTTTATTCGGTTCTAGTATCATCTCCCTTTGCTTCATCGGCTAATGCGTCCGTTTTGTTTGGGTTTTACGCCACCTTGTTCTTTTTGCTGAAAATTTTGCATTTCAAGTAAGTTTTTCCACTCACTGCAGCCCCACCAAGATCATCTTGTGCTATTCCACTATTATTATTTATTTTCGTTTCTTTTTGTGCATCATCACATCCGATTCAGTCGATATCTTTACAACGCCGATGTGGATGATATGAGTTGCACTTGTGCAATGATTTGACTTAAATTCTTATCTCCTCCATTATTGGAATAAGGCAAATTTACTTTCTGGTGATTGCTTTAATTGTTGATAGGTGCTTATAAACTTTCCTCTTGACTTCTACTCTTTTTTAAAAAAAACAAAGGCAGGAGCTCTGTCGCTCAATTAAGACAAAAGAATTTATGTACAAGAGGCCTAGCCAACGGGATTTCAAAAAGGGCACCCGATAGGCTAACTAACCCACACGATGCACCTGAGCACTAACACGGCACACTACCATGGGTCATCGTTGCCGAGCATGGCTGAAGACGGCAGCAGCTCCGACTTCTCATGGCAGTCCACACACACAAGCCACCCACCAACGAGCCCGAAGCAAGCGGCCGCAACCGGTCATCGTTGCCAAGCTCAAGCACCCCGCAAAGAGCAGCTCCGACTTCCAATCACAGCCACACGCCTCACCTCCGGCGCTTGTCGACCCCTAGCAGACCCCACCCTACGATGAAGGTGGGGGCTCGCCGCGTGTCATCGTTGCCGAGCCACGTCCCTGACGCAGCAGCTTTGACTTCTCGCAGCAAGACCCGCCTCCACGCGTCATCGAGGTGCCAAGAAGCGAAGAACAATCACCGAGGAGACATCGAGGCCACGACGAAATCCAAACGCGACGCCTTCAGGAAGGTAGCGACGCCGATGGCGCCACCGTCGCACGTCCAAAGTGGACCGGGCTTTCACCCTTGGATGATAGTGCTAGAGGGGATACACGACGCCCCAATAGGGAAAGCGGCACCCACAGGTGTCGCCATCGCTAGGCTTTCGCCCAGGAGTCCTCTAGCACGAACGTCGGGCCAAGAAGCAAGGCCCCTTGCCATCCATCATTGCCTTCGCCGTTGTCCTGCCGCTCCACAGTAACCCCTTCAGAGGGGCTTCGACGCGCCGGCTGCACGCAGCAGCCGCACAGCTGCGTCGGCCGTCACCCCCTCCGGCCGGGCAACGCGGAGCCGGACCTGACTCCGCTGCTCGCGAAACACCGCCGCACGACCAACGCCTCAGCCAGCCGCTGTCGCCGGCTCTTGGCACGTGCTGCCGACGCTGCGACCCGACGTCAGCCACCACCAGACACGTGCCCCACCCCCCGTGGGCGCTGCCCCCTGCCCAGTGGCGTCAGAACCGGCAGTAGAGCACCGGTGCCAACACCCTTTGCTGTCGCCTCCGCCTAGCCACCGCCCTCGCCAGCCCTCCGAGATAGTGCCGGATCCAGGCGCCGGAGCTCCAAATCTGGCCGCGTGGACACCGGATCCAGCCGCCCAGGACTCGATCCAGCGATCCGGGCCAACGTTGCTGCTGCCGCCGCCAAGTCTGGAGGAAGGGACAGGCGAGGGAGAAGGGGATCCACCGCCATCCCCATGCGCCAGCCGGACACCAGCCGACGCCACCAACAGCCGCGACGGACGCCCCCACCGGGCTCCACGCAGCCCGTGTGGGAGGAGAGCCGCCGGCGCGCTGTCACCTGCGCCACCAAATTGCGAGGAGAGGAGGAGCCCCGCCACCGCCATCCCGGTGAGCCGCATGGCCATGCCGGCGGCCAGCTCCGGCGGCGGCGTGGCAGGGGGAGGGGAGGGAAGGGGCGGCTGCTAGGGTTTGGGAGGGAGCGGCCGCCCGTGTCGCCCGCATGGGGGAGCGACGCTAGCGATACGGATAGGCATCTTTTAGGACTCGACGCACACGATCTTAATCATTAACTGCTTTTCTCCTTTAGCTAGTAACATAATCACTGCCTTACTGAATGCAGGGACTTTGCTTCCAATGTCATCGTCTGATTTCTTCTATTCGGAGTGAATCACATAAGTAGATAAGGTTTCTTCTTCATCCAGTAAGCTCGGTCTGTACCCAGTACTGCAACAATGGTGCTTGGCCTCCGAACCAAGACAAGGAAGGATTCTGCCTTCCATGTGGATTTCAATATTCTCATCCAAGAAATCAGCCCATGGCCTCCTTCTGAATCCCTGAAGTCTTTGCGCTCCGTAGTACTCTTCTGGGAAAATGGTGAGCGCAATTCAGGGAAGACGAGCACTGTTGCGCCTTCAATTGGGTCAGGTTCCGCAGCAGGGAAGATTGAATTCAATGAGTTCATAAATCTACAGGCTGTTTTCCAGAAGGAGGGGTCATCCAAGAGTGGAAAGTGGCAGAAGAACCTGCTTGAATTGAACTTGTATGAGCCGAGGAGGGATAAGCTGAAGGGCCAGCATTTGGGGACTGCAACACTAGACCTTGCAGAGCATGCAATGTTTCATGAGGACACCAGTGTTCCTGTGCCTCTCAGTTCCAAGAGAAGTTTCAAAAACAATGCCCAGCCCATGGTTTACCTTCGAATCCAGCCTTTGGATGGAGATAACTCAAGCGTTTCTTCAAGAGATGCATTATCAAAAGAGGCATCAATTGATAAAGATTCAAAGGAATTCGTCTCGGCAACGATGAGTCAGGAGTATACTGAAGATACAGAGTTTGCTTCCTTTACTGATGATGAAGAAGCAGCAGCTCCATACATGTACCACTCGGGTGGAACTGCTCTCACAGGTAGCAGTAGATCTCAGGAATCCCTCAAGGTAAAAGAACTCCATCGTATATGTGTAATTCACTCTTATTGCATCTGTTTATCTTACTTTAAATAAAAGCTTCCTTTTCCAAATTGTCATGAAGAAACAGCGCGTACTCCCTCTGTTTTTAAATATATGGCATGTATTATCCTAGACATCACATATTCAAAAATGGAGGGAGTAATAATATTGGGTGAGTTGTTGCTACTATGTTGTTTCCATTACATTACCAAGTTGGTGCTATTATATCATGTACTCGTTTATTGGACTCCACATTGTTCCTGTCAAGGCAAGATATAGCTGCCGATATAGTTGATACAAGAGCTCACACTCCATGTGTTCTTTTTCCTTTTGTTATCCATGTTCTGTTATTATCTTATATTCTTGTCAAGTAAACAATATGTATCTGTTATAAAGTAGGAATTTCGCTTACAAGCTCCAATAAAAATAGTAACAGTGTAGTTCATCGCTGTGTTTATTGTATCCCATCACAACATTTTGGCATTCTCTAATTCCATATCTGAGCCTACTTTGAACTTGCTAGGGGAAGGATATCAGGTTATCTGGTAATGAAGGTACCAGCTCATCGTTGGACTCCCAGCATGAAGCAACGTCATCCAGTATGAAAGTGAGGAGTGAAGAAGTTGAAAAGTTTCCAATTCAAGTACAGAAGCAAAATGGCCATCCAGCAAATCTGTCTCTCTCATCAGATTTGCCCAGAGAACAAAATCCGTCTCTTCCACCACACAATGCATTCAGAAGTGGTCGTAAAATGTCATTTGCGTATGGTATGACTGAATCTAACCAAAGACAGTTTGGGGAGAGAACTTATAGCACTTTAACTACTGATAGAGCAAGGAATATGAGGTTCAGTATGAGAGTTCCAGATGTTAATGGAAGTGTCATAAATAAGAAAGTTGATTCCCAAAAGGAAGAAGTGAAAGAAGTTGATTCCCAGGATATTGCAATTACTCATGAGAATAAGGCCAGTGCTGATGATGGATTGCAAGTCCAGGAGCCAATACACATTTCAAATAATCGAAATGACAACAAAGTTCGAGAACTAGAACTTAAAATTGAGTTGCTTGAAGCAGAGCTAAGAGAAGCTGCTGCTGCTGAGATAGGCCTTTATTCAATAATTGCAGAACATGGTAGCTCAGTAAACAAGGTTCATACACCAGCACGAAGGCTTTCCAGGCATTTTGTGCATGCACTTAAAAACTGTTCAAGAGACAAGATGGGAAGTGCAGCAAGGAACGCAACCTCTGGGCTGGTTTTGGTAGCAAAAGCTTGTGGATATGACATTGCAAGGTGCTTGAGAATTGAGATTCCCTCTTATATTCAAACCTCAGTATTTTAAGGAAATTATAACTTTTTTAGTGTACAACATGGCAATAATTCAACAAGTTTCTACACGGTTAACTTTAGTCTTTTTTGCCATTATTCTAGAATGTAGTTTTACTTAACAGTAATTGATGGAATTTTAAACTCAAGTATTGCTTTATCTGTAGGCTCACATAGTCTTTCTCTAATCAGGTTGAGTTTCTGGTTGTCAAACTGTGTTGTATTGCGAGCAATTGTTACTGAAACTTCTAGGCAATCGGGCACTGTAAATAGCATCAGTTCTGGTGATTATAATTCCAAGACAACATACAGGAAAAACTCTGCATCAATGTGGGAGTCACTTAATAGGAAGAAAGGAAAATTACTTTCCCCTGAGTTTGATAACTGGGAAGATGTTGACACATTTATAGCTGCACTAAAGAAGATCGAATCATGGATATTTTCACGAATTGTTGAAACCCTTTGGTGGCAGGTTTGTTCCCCTTACCGATTGTGTTATCCCTTCCTTCATAGGAATTTGTTGAACATGGTGTCATAAAAATCATGATTTGCAGACATTCACACCACATATGCAATCTGCCAATATAACTGGTGATTTGAAAAGTATTCCAAATCCAAAGAAAAGCTATGGAAGAATTACTGTTGTGGGCAACCAGCAACAAGCAACCGTATCAACAGACATATGGAAGAAGGCCTTTAAGGAAGCGTCAGAAAGGCTTTGCCCAGTAAGGGCAGCTGGACATGAGTGTGGATGTCTGCCTATGTTGACCAAATTGGTGAGCTCCAAATAATTGATTAGTAACTTCTTGTTCATTCTCAATCAGATACTTTTTAAATAGTTTCTCAGTTATACTTTAGACTGAAAGGTTTATTGAAGCTATTACTGTAGTTATCCATGGTATATTTACATATTTCTTTTTTGGAGTAAACGGTAGCTCTGCAAGAAGATCCCAAAAACTCTTTACTAAGAATATAAGATTTCCCGTGTATTCCATTTTGAAATGTGTTACTTTGGAATTTCATAACTATTAGAACTAAGATTGCATTAAAATTGGTCTGGAATCACACTAGCCAGTGCGATACTTACTGGTCTGGGCCTACAACCAGTAGCCGGCTGGTTTTTTATTGCTGTTGAGCACTTTGCCATAGGCTACAGCTGATTTCTTAGGTTTGTATGGTGAAACATTATGATATCTATGTTAATAAACTAAATAAGGCGTAACTTAACACAAATTTTCATATTGCATTTCAAATTTGTTTCCTCAATGCAACTGGATCTTGATTCAAGATTGAGGCTCTGAGAATAAAAGACAGACTATGTATAAAACCCTTTGACTTGTTCTAATTCACAACAGTATTTCCCTTCTACAGGTGATGGAGCAGTGCATAGCTAGGTTGGATGTAGCAATGTTCAATGCTATTTTGCGCGAATCAGATGATGAAATTCCAACAGACCCAATATCTGATCCAATAACAGATCCTAAGGTTCTCCCGATCCCATCTGGGAAATTCAGCTTCGGTGCTGGGGTCCAACTGAAAAATGCAGTGAGTTAAATGACAACTATGCTTATTGAGTTATTGTGAGGTCACACAACTTACCACCAATGGACCTTTTGCCTCCCTTAATTCTCACTTGTTACAATGACCATTGACCTGCTTCTCTCTCCTAGATTGGCAGCTGGTCTAGATGTCTTACTGATTTGTTTGGCATGGATATGGACGACTATCCAGAAGCTGAGAATGGGAATGGTGAAAATGGCTTTGGTGAATCTCTAAAGCCATTCTATCACCTAAATGCACTGAGTGATCTCCTGATGCTCCCCAAGGATGTGCTCATGGATACCAGTAGCAGGAAAGAGGCATGAACTTCTATCTTGTTCAAAAGAGTGCTCTATTTTTTAATGACTTATTACTGATAAACTATTTTATGTTATTCCCTGTCAATTTGAAACATTTTTTTTAAAAAAAATCTTATACTGTCATGTCATGTTTTACAGCTTTGCCCTACCTTTAGCTCATCAATCATCAAGAACATCCTGGATGTCTTTGTACCAGATGAATTTTGTCCAGATCCCATTCAAGGTTCTTTACTTCAAGCACTAGAGTTGGAGGTTAGTTTATTGAACTCTTCGTACGCTAAATGTACTCAAAGTTTAAGATCTTAATTTACTTGTTTACCTGCATTCCGTCAAACCATTAGATGTCGAGTCAATCCTGTGGTTATGGGATATAAAACCCATCCTGATTCCATTTGGCATTAAACACACAATGTAGGCCGTTACTGAGTGGGAATCTATGTTGCACAGACCTAATTCCTTTTAAATTTGTAACTAGTATATATAACTCAGCACGTTTTCCAAATAAAGCAGCATTTTTCTATTCACCAGCACTACTACTAAAACGCAAAAGCAGTAGTTCTCTAATGCTAAATATGAAACTTGAGGGTGGATGTCATCTAACATTTGTATGCTTTTACTTATGATAACCATTTTTTCCATGACATATAGATTTTAGGTATATCTTCCATTAGGCTGCTAGTTTCACAACAAGGAAACTACTGTAAAAGAACCACACGTACTTATCTGCAGTTTGAGTGAAATTACTCTGTTCAAATGCAAATTATGGAAGGTATCTGACCATGGGAGACATGAATCTCTGTTAATAGGACCACCTGGAGGTTAACAAGGGCATACGGTTGATCCCCTGCAGCGTGTCGCCAATTTTGTACAATGCCCCTGCATCTGGGGCAATACTAAGTGTCATCGGTGATCCTAGGAAGAGCGGGTCCACCATCCTTCGCAAGTCCAACACGAGCGATGACGAGCTTGATGAGCTGAGCTCCCCACTTACCTTCATCTCCAACACCTCATCAAACCCGCTTGCAAAGCTGAAGCGGATCAGCAACTCGAGCACAACGAGGTACAGGCTCCTCCATGAGGTGTGGAAGCTGGATGACCAGTAGGACTTGGTCCTATCACCTCCATGGTTCTCCCTTTTGTATATGTATATAGAGGTTTTTCCCATATGATTCCGGCTCATGTATAAGATTTCAGTCTATTCGTTTATGTTATGTTATGTTATAAGAAGATGAGAGGGGCAAGAAATCAGAAGCGTTGAATCTTAATAAATCTGGTGTGTCTAAATGCAAGAGTGTTCGATGTGTGCTGTGCTCGAGTGTGAATTACGTGTTCTGCAGATGTGGTAAGCTAAATGCAAGTGGGCCAAATACTAAATGCAGATCAGCGAGAAGTCGAGGTCTGACTCTGAGTCCAATGTGCAGGCTCATTTCTACTCCCACCCGTAGTGATACTGGCGCAGTGAAAATCTTTAGTCCCATACTGCTGGCCTGCAGTGACACACACCGCTTTATATTGCTAAGCTGGGAGTTAAAGGCTCGCTACCAGAGGGTGAAGTGATACCTACGGGAGTACGACGTCCCTACGTGCTGTTATATCCCTGAACCTACACTTGCTTAGATTAAAAGCTGCTTCATATAAGCACCGAGTTCACACACCCAAATCAGATCTGGAATATATAGGTTTATATGGACTAAAATTGTATTTATGCTTCGCACGTATAAGAAGAATTCGTCCTGCAAAATGTTTTCCATACCGTCGGGTTTCGGATACCCGTTGCTATTTTGACTTGCGTGGGTTCCCCTCTCAGGATAGGGTTGGGGTGGGTCCAGGGTTCCTATATATTCCTCTGTAGCCCTCTTTTTAATTTTAATTTCAACTAGTGTTTTTCTTTCCCCTTTGAGAAGTGATACTGTAGTTCTAAGAAGTAAATAAATTTGAGGAATCAAACCTTCAAGCGTGCTTATATAAACTTATTATATCCTCGTAGCCATAGTTTTAATCCATAATCTCCTGCTAACAGAAGTCCCAAGCATTGTTGGCTGGCTGATAAGCCGCTGAAACCAACCGACGAACAATCTGTTTCAAGGAAGTTGTGTGAATGACAGGATCGGTGTATCAGTTTGAATCGTCAAGATATCAAATAGTCATGGATAGACATCGCTCGAACATTATAACACATCAATCGATAATCGAACAGAGTTGTCGCCTCAAAAGGAAGAAATAAGAAAACAGCTGATGTATTAATGATAGTATTTTGGGTTGGACAGTGTATACCGTAAACGGATGGTAACATGGCATGGTAAACTCCATTCTGTCACCCAAATGCATTGGGACAGACTCAAACAAAGTGTACAACACAATCCCACCAAATACCCATCTGTCTGCAATCACTGGGAAACTCCCATGAAAGATACTTTTATTTCTAATAATAAATCAAACAGGCAACTACTCAGATACCCTTCTCCAGCATCGACCTGACCCGTGTCGGTAGACCGTACAGCCTGATGAACCCCTCAGCGTCAGCCTGGTTGTAGATCTCCCCATTCTCAAACGAGGAGATATCCTCCCTGTACAGGCTGTAGGGGCTCTTCCGGGACGCGACGTTCACGGATCCCTTGTACAGCTTCAGGGTCACTGAACCAGTGGTCGTCGCGGTAATCTTCTCCATGAAGGCATCAAAGGACTGCCGGAGCGGGTCAAACCAGCGGCCTGCGTAGACCAGCTCAGCGTACTTGAGGGCAATGATGTCCTTCCACTGCATTGTCTCCCTGTCCAGGGTCAGGGACTCCAACTCGCGTACCGCGGCTGCCATGATGGTGCCACCGGGGGTCTCATACACGCCACGTGACTTCATGCCGACCAGCCGGTTTTCCACTATGTCGATACGCCCAATCCCATGCTTTCCACCGATTTCATTGAGCTCCGAGAGGAGGGACGCTGGCGAGAGGTCTCGGCCATTGATTGAAACAGGAACACCGGCAATGATACCAATCTCCAGATACCTGAAATGTATGCGGCTCAGTATTAATCTATCACAGCATTGGTACATATGCAGTGTGCAAATGAAAAACCTATGTTTATACTAATCATATCAAATTCCAGACCAATCCTGCTTGGATGGATCCAACTCTGGAATACCAGGTGCAATAATGGTCTTATGTAAAATGTGGTCAATGCTCAATTGTGCATACACAGTAAACTATGCTACAGACTGCAGCAAACATGAAAAAAGATATGAGCGAAAAGATTTAATATTGATCACTCACTCAGGTTTCGAGGGTGCATTTTCTGGAGCAACAGACATCATATACATATCTTCCTTTGGCTCATTTGCTGGGTCCTCCAGGATGTCACCCTGCAATGTATAGAGGATGATTCACTTCATCTCGCATCAAAGATAAGCATCATGTTGTTTGGTTAAAGGCATCAACAAGGTAAAGATGCAGAACACTAATGGATAACACTAATATGACATTTTGCATATATTGGCTTAAAAGTTGGAGTGACCATCTTGTAAAATTCTGGTAAAATAAGATTCTGGTCTACATGTAAAGAAAAGATAATGAATCACAAAAATGCTTTGATAAAACTATAGAAGCAATAAACAAGAAAATAGATAATACCTCATGGCTAAGGTGCCACAAGTTTCGATCTCGGCTGTATATTGATTTCTTTGAAACTGGAACAGGTACATTATGTTTCTTTGCATATTCAATAGCATCTTCACGTCCTGTGATATCCCACTCCCTCCAAGGTGCCACCACTTTAAGTTCAGGATTTAAAGCATAGAATGTAAGCTCAAAGCGAACCTGCAGAATAGGGTAGCATTAAAAGATGACCGGCCATATTAATATTCAAGCTAACAGCATCATTACCTGATCATTGCCTTTCCCAGTGCATCCATGGGCAACTGCATCTGCACCAACTTCCTTGGCAACATCAACCATTGCCTGCAGTGGAGATATAATTTCTTAATATACCTCTGTTAGGCCATAAAACTAGGGGCATTCAGAAGAATAAGAGCGTATTAATGCTGCCAATACAGCCCCACCTACAGATCCTAAAGAATATATGCAGCATTCAGCATATTATTTGAAGCATATTTCAATATTTTATTGCAACTAAATAAATCATGAAATACGAAACAACACGCCCTACCCCATGATTTGTTCCACTAGTTCTACTGCATGATGCCCATGACTCACAATAGGTTAACTGAACAGATCTCCATGCCAAACAACAGCTGAGCCACCTACTCTACAGGACTAGCAGATCAAATCAACAAAATAAAGATGATCATCCAATGGAATAAATAAGAGATAACAGTGTATTAAAGAAAAAATTGCCAAGCCTATCTATAACAAGAAGCATACCATGTTCTACCGCAACAGATTTGATATATTCTACCAAAAGTTACATCAAGTTTACATGAGCAACTTCGTTGCTGTAGTAGTGATTATAATTCAAATTATATTTCTTCCATCATGTGCATTTACAGTACACTGTAAGACATGACGTCAATCAAATTTCAAGGAAACATGCAATATCAAAAAATACTTTTTAAGAAATTATATGATGCACATTATTTGTGATTATACAATAACAAGATGCAGTTATTGTATTAATTTTACCTTAGCAATAACAGGCCTAGCCATGGAAGTCCCAAGCAGATACTTTCTTTCATAAACTGCACCTGCACGCAGGCAGGGGTATATATATTCACTAACAAATTCTTCTTTCAGGTCCTTCACAACAAGCTGGCAAGCACCACTGGCTTTTGCCTTCTTCTCCAACCCTTCCAATTCAATGGCACCCTAAGGAGGGTTAAGTAAATGTATTTAAACAGATGGTTAGCTACAAGAAAATGGATAGAAAATCCAAACTATGACGCTACCTATTTACATATTGACAACCAAACAAAATAATAAATCACTAGAAGGTTATAGAATATAAAAAGATTCACAACTTTAGAAATTAGGACAATGCAAAGCCATAGAAACAACAGGTGAAGAAACCATTAGTTTTGGAACTCCTGACAGAAATGCAACCAGGAGAAAAAATATGCAAGAGTGAAAACAGCAGAAAAAATATGCAAGTGTGCTAAATACGAAAGAGACATGGGAGGAAAAGAAACAGGAATATGTTGGCTAGACATTACAAAGTTTTCAGTAGAATTGTACAGCAATTTCATTATGTATGCTCAGAATAGGTCAAGCTATAATATAAGGTTACAAACCTGGCCAACATCAGCAGTGAAACAGACAACTTCACAACCATAGTTCTCCCTTCAATTAGTAAACAAAAAAGATACAGCTTGTACAAGTTAGATAAATGTAGACTTCAAGCTTCGTAAAAGACAAATTAAAATAAGGAATATCTATACCTGAGCCATGGAACAATAACAGATGTATCCAAACCACCACTATAAGCTAAAACAACTTTATTTAATTTTCCACGCAATCCACCCTTGGTTTGATCACCGCTAGTAGCAGTGGAAATTGCACCCTGCTCTTTTCCAGTTGCCATTGCACACCTGATAGCTGTGTATTTTCACAAAGATACAGGAGTTATCATTGTAGTAACAGAAAATTGCTACTCTGATGTCTAGATAGCAGTTACAAAAATAAATTAAGTCACTAAAGTTTCTTATTACAAGCAGTAAGAAGCTATTTAGTTGTACAGGTAAATTAATGAAGAACAGCAATGCTGCAGGACCACCCTTCCAAAAACTTTTTCAATCAAACCTTTTTGCCTAAAATGGTTGGTCCATACTCCATAGATGAGAATAAGCCAGTGTCCACCAAAGTGAAAAGAACAAGATTGAACAAAAGATGAGTTCAACTAGATTCCTAGTCATGTCCCAAGTGGCAGCTGATATTTTTTGCCGCTATAAGACCATTTAACCATAGATGGTTAGCATCACCAAGCAAGGAGGAATTCTAAGGGCAGTTTGGTTGGGACAATGCAATTCGAAGAAGTGACATGATTTTTGCAGGCCAAGAATTTTATGAATGATCAAATTCAGAACCTCTAAGATAAATAAAATCAGAGTGTGAAGTACAGAAAACAGGTGGTGCCAATAGTATGTGCTACACTGCAGGTA